CTTTTAATAGGTTAAATTTTTAAGGTAAGCAGTTCAATGTCATAGAAAAGTACATAAAAGTTTGAGTTTAATTTTCAATACCAGCCATATATGAAAATACGCGTGTCAAGCATGACCTGCAAAAGCCTTTCATAGACAAAATCTATCCCATATTTCTAATAATTAAGTCTCTAGATGAAGTTGTTCAACACGCGCCAGTTATGCCGTTTATACTCCATTATTAAATAAATTATTAAGAAAAATAACATGAGAGATCTCTAACCGATTCGTGGTGGTAGAAGCAAACTCTTACCAGGGATAGGAAGAGAAAGAGCGAAAGAAAGAATAGCATCTTGGATGAACTATCAAAGTTCCCAGAGATAGAGTCCCATGCCAAGCTAGCCATACTTGGAGCAGCCAAAAAGAGAAAGAAAACAGGCCTAAGCATATGTGGAACCGAATTACTCCCTTTTAGTCTCTGATAAAGTGTGACAAAAAGTACTAAATAATGTGTCATTCCCAGTGCAAACATACAAATTGCACTCTCTCTCCACCCCATTTCTGCTGCAGCTCTTGCTCCGGCCAAATTACCGATAACCGATAATTGGCTTGTTGGGTTCGCGGTTCCCGATAACAATCTCTTCCCTTTGGTGAAATACTGGCCATAGATTTTTATATCAAGTGCCAAGATGGGAACGATAAACGCCCACCAAAGTACAAAATAGTGTACGGTTTTGGCTGTAAAGAAGGGGGTGGCTTGGAGTAAAAGAAGCCAAGAAATCCAGGGAGCAAATAAGTAATTCACTCCTACGCGGTGTAAGAACTCATTTTTCACCATTTCAAAGTGCAAGAAACAGCGTAGAAGGTATATTAGAGATAAGGATACTAAAGAAAATAATGCCAATGACCACAGAAGAACGAAAACTGCGTATGGTAATAGGCGAAGAACTTGTCTAAAAGCGTGGACATCGTCCGATGGCTCATCTAATGTTTTCCATAACAATACCTGGCTGCACAAGGAGAGGCTAATTCGGAAGTAACCAGCATGAAATTTAGCTGAAATTGTCAAAACTAAAAGCTTGAGTTGGGGTACTTGAGACTCTTTTTGCTCCATTCGAGGTATTTGACTTTGAGTGTGTGTCTATGAAGGACGAAATTATTTCAATGGGATGGTTTTTTCTATGTTTGTAACGAAGTATATATAGATTTAGAAATGGAAAGAGATCAATTGAATGGTGACAGTTTCCATGAAGTTACTAAAAGACATACATTGGTTGCCCCTTTGGACTTTTGGGTCCTTGAGCTGTTAACACCACTTTACAGCTAAAACATGGCTCTCTAGTGCACACAGACAGGATAAGATTGCCCACTTTCTAATATGGCACAAGAAGTATATTTAGGATCTGTTTGATTGCGAAGATAAAATTAAGGTGGAAAGAAAATGAATTCTAGGGAATTGAATTACCTAGAAATTGTTTTCATGGAAATTGTAAATTATTGTGTTTGATTGTATAAATTTTTCACGTGGAAAATGTTGAAGTAAAAGTATTTTTTGATGTTCGTTTGACTTTGTTTTACGTGGAAATTGTCAATTTCAGGGATATCCTTTTTTACAATTATTCCTAAAATTTGTTCCCATTGCCAACAATTAAAAAAAATAAAAAAAGCAAAAAAAATAAAAATAAAAAAGGTAGAAAACCAAAAACCACCTATCCCCTAGGAAAAAAAAGGTGGAAAATCACGCTTTAAGGTGTTGTACCTAGAAATTCATGGAAAATCAATTCCCTGAAAAATTTTGTCAATCAAACAGGCCAAAAGTGGAAGTTGGAATTCAAATTCCAAGTTCCATGGAAAATTTCGTGCAATCAAACGGGCCTTATTGTTCTCTCCAAGTGGGTAAAATAAAATTTCCCAGTACGGCAGGAGAACATTTCTACTAATGCACAAATATAAAATTTGAGAATAGAAAAAATATTCTAATAATGTAATCAAGAGGCTGGAAAAAATAATTTATGGACTGATAGATGAACGAGAAATAGTTTCAATTGGATAAAAAAAATAAACAGCAATTAACAGTAATTAAAACTTCGAAAAAATGATTAAATAGTTAAAAACGTAAAGCGTTAAATAATTTAATACATAAAATGTGATTTATTATTCTGAAACAAATATACTTTGACATGTTCAGCTATTTATAGTAATACATT